CATTTATAACTGGAATATAATTTAATTTCATTCACATGTGTTTCATAAACACATAATCCTTTCTGGATTACAATCCGCCATCAGAATGATACATTTAATTATTCTAGTTGCTGTGAAAAAAGGCTATAAACGATCCTCCGCCTGCAGGATCCTCACATGCGATAGCCTAGTAGCCGGGACAACTTCTTTATGTTTACAGACATGACATAATGACGAAAACCTACCAGTACCACTCAAATTAGAAAACATTATTATAAGCTAACAGTTGTGAATCGGGCTAAAGTAAGGCGATAGTTTTGAACACTGGTTGGTTATGTACTTGCTCAAATGTTGATTCCGGATCATTTTTAACCCAAAAAAAGTTACGGACTGCAGCTTTAAGATACTGCGAAGGCGTTCGTGTTGTTGTTGTTGTTTCCTCCGCGCCGGCAGGTGGTGCTGCGGCTAGAATTTCTCATAAACTCCGCCCGCGCTACAGTCAGCGCTCGGCGGGAACGTTTGTTTTCAACATAAACATGGAAATGGAGGGATCGTCAAATGAGATAATATCCAGCACGACTGATGAAATCGATTTAACTGAAGTCGAGGGTGTTGTCCAGTCATGGCTGATCGATTATTACTTCGCGTCACTATGTCGGCTCTTCAGAGACAGATCTGCGTTGGAGTTTCGTAAAACTTTGAAACTATTTGAAAGTAATGTGTTTTGTTTTGAGTCTAGTAAATATTTGTTTATTATAATAATTAATGCTAGATGCTTTTATTTTTATTTTGCTTGCATTTATTTTTAATTATGATATAATTTGTTCTGTATTCTCACATGTTGTTTATTGTTTATTCCACAGGTATAGTGGATGATCTTGAGTCATGTTCCCACAGGTCAGATCATCCCACTCAGAGAACGATCTGCTGCTTCCTTGCCAGAGTGATGGACGGGGAAGACCTGGGTAATGTCAACATATTATTAGCAATGTTATATTTATTTGTGCCAGATAATATTTAGTTGTCTTTATAAGAAACTTGCTTAGCTTTACAGTCATTTTCAATAATAGCTGGGCATACATCTACAGTGTAACTCCAAGACGCAGTGTTGTCACGGTCATGAAAAACCTGGAAAAAAAAAATTTTATTTGAAAAAATGCTAACTGATAGATCTCACCATACGTCCAGTTTATTCATCATATTCCATTCAGACAATGGTTTTGTTTTACAAGTTTTCAGAATTATGTATAATTATGCAAATACACATTATCTAATTAAATAAGCACGCATTTGCATGAATTTCCAGAACAGAAATCTGAACATTGAATTAAGAGCCAGGTTCAAAATTCTTGTTTCTTTTTGACCTATAATTTGTTGTGTTTTTTTGGAACTGATTTTGAGTCTCTTTCTCTTTATCAGCCCATAAATCAGAAAATGCTGTCAACAGCCAGAGAAAAAAAAATACATTTTTGCCATGTTTTTAAGATTTTTTTTTTTTAATACAAACTAGGTGATATATGATCAAACTCCTCTGTTAAAACCTTAAGTACATAGAGAGGAATTGGAAATGCTACTGAAGTTAAAATGTTTGACTCATGGGGGGGGGTTTGCCTGTAGTGCCTAATGGTTAGAAAGTCGGACTTGTAACCCAGTCGCAGGTTCGAGTCTCCGTACTGGTAGGGCTAAACCACGACTGAGGTGAGACCCTTGAGCAAGACACCGAACCCCCAATTGCTCCCCGGGTGCCGCAGCAAAAAATGGCTGCCCACCGCTCCGGGTGTGTGTTCACTGTGTGTGTGTTTGTTCACTACTCACTGCTGTGTGTGTGCACTTGGATGGGTTAAATGCAGAGCACAAATTCCGAGACACTATACTTGGCCACACGTCACTTTCACTTATAAGTATAACAAAAAAAGTGAAACCCTGATGACTGCTATAAATTCATAAACACACTTTTGCTGTAAAGTGATGCCATTTTTTGAAGAAGCTTTCTGATTTGTTTTCTAATTTTTCAACCCATTCTTACGTTGGATTCTTAGACTATCACAAGTCTTTTCGAAATTTGATGAAGCCTCATCTAGATAGATTACGAGATTTTGCAAGAATAGTGTACAGTATATCACGAAAACCGAATTAATTTTTATAAAGACAAATGTAAATGAAAGATTCAGTGACTGTTCCATCAGCTAATTCATCTTGTGTTGTGTTGTGGATTTCAGACGTCCGTTATGATCACGTTGCTCGAATCACTCCCTTGATGTCAGCGCTGCCGATTTGGGAGTCATTAAAGGAAGTGTCTGATTCAGACTTGCATGCTAAGATCAAGACGCTACTGATTGTTCAGGTATTTTTGATTGAGAGTGATGGATGTTTCACGTTGTAGAGTTTGAATGGAGTTCAGTCATGAAAATGCTGTTTTCATTGTGTGTCCAAGTCTGTCGCTGTGTGTGTGAAGAAAGGAAATTCACAGTTGGCAAAGGAAACCCTGCGGTGGCTGGAAAAAGAGACTGAGATACCAGCGGTGTGTATTTACCCGTTACAGTTTAACATGCCTTTTCATGCAATGCGGCAAATCAACATTTTTGTGTCTGTCTTAACAGAAACTACAAGGAAAGCTGACCACCATTGTGAGTAAGAAGGATGCATACGATCAGCTCCTGATGAACTTCACTTTCAACCAGCTGTTGGAGAACGTCGACACGTTCCTCAACACGTTCAGCCAGGAACGGTCCTCTGGTTTCTTACTCGAAGTATGGGGCCTTTTTTGTTATGCTTACCAAAAAGCTAATCCACCTTACGATTAACTCCGATTTGTTTTGCTACATCCTGTGGGAACGTCCTAATGGGCTTCATTGACTGTGGTTTCGATGTGCATACTGTATATACTGGGAATTTGTCTAATGATCTCTTAGAGTTGTGATGTTTTCCTGAGGGTGTGGAAATGGTGCAATTAGCTTCACCTTCAATGCTCAGTAACCACCTAATAAAGGCTCTTAAGAGCGGATTTTCCTGCCACTAACTGTTTACTTTGACTGTGATTTAAAGACTGTGTGTTTTGCTGCTTATTACCAGAAATGCTATGAAGTACTTACTTTTTTTTATTTTTTTTTTAGGCAGCATTAAAAGTGGTTCAAGCCCGTCATGAGAGGTCAGAGAAAACCTCATCTGAACAGGATGGAAGTGAAAGGACTCCATCCAGCCCAGAGTCAAACAAACCAGAAGAGTAAAACCATCTCTCTCAACTTCAAAATTTAAAACGGCAGTTGTCTGTTATGAAAATGAATTCAAATTTTATTTATTTGGTTCTGGTCATTCATAAATGTAATAAACCACTTTTTCTTAAGTAAACTCTTTAATTGTAGAGAGTTTTTTGTGAAATTTTTATTTAATATGCATTTTAGCTGAATAAAATATTTTAAATATAAATAAAATTCTTATTTGGTGTTGATGTTTCCACACAGAAATGAGGTGCAGGTGGATCCACTGGTGTTAAATATAAGGTGAGAGCCTTGGAAGTAATTTCAGCATGCAAGATTTAAACCGTGGCAAACACTCTCATTATGTGAATATAAACAGTCACCATAATAACTAACACCTGACAATAATCATCAGTGATTCATAATTCAAATGCATAACCTTATTATCTATCTCATATGACTTGATTTAGTTGTCTTTATTCAAATTCCTCGAATAAATGAAAACAAATGTTTATTTTATGTTTTTATATTTTATGAAATAAAATCATGAAATAATTCTGTCTCTCTCAGACCCAAAAGGAAACTTCTTTCCAAACAAATTCAAATGCATAACCTTATTATCTATCTCATATGACTTGATTTAGTTGTCTTTATTCAAATTCCTCGAATAAATGGAAATAAAATCATGAAATAATTCTGTCTCTCTCAGACCCAAAAGGAAACTTCTTTCCAAACAAATTCATGACCTGTGGAAACCTGAAACTGCCAAGAAAGAGCAAACCACACGCAAGAGAACCTCCATTTGCAGTATGTTCTCAGCTGGGGGATTTTGTTTGTTGTTTAATGTATATTTTACTGAATCAAAATATCAATTATCTTGTCATTTTCTATGTTGTTAAGGAAGTAGTTAACCAAAAATCTGCTCGCTCATGTCTTTCCAAATCTGTTTGTTTTTTTCCATATTCACCATTATTCACTGATAATCTTCTATTTTGCTCTTTATAACATCAAACATATGCATTTCTTCAAAATTATTTTTTTGTGTGTGTGTTCCACAGAAATAACATCATGCAAGTTTTGAACTTCTTTTTAAAAAACTCTATGAACATTAAGTGCTTTTCATTCGTATTATTAATCTGTAACCATTTATAAATGCTAATTTTATCTACAGAGATTTCCAGGAGAAGTAGTGTCTCTTCAGAATTACAAAGCAATGTTAGTGTGACAAGCCAACTCAGGAGGGTGAGTTACTCTGAAGGTGGACATCTTCAGTGTGTGCGCATGTGCATAATAACAGCATCAATGTTTGTTCCTTTCAGAAATGGACTGCAGAAGAAGATAGGAAGCTGAAAGCAGGTGTGAGGAAGTATGGGGAGGGCAAATGGAGAATGATCCTGAATGACTTTGAGTTTGACAACCGCACCGGTGTAAATCTTAAGGACAGATGGAGAATCCTGAAGAAAATGGAAGACTACTGAGCTACTGGCGGCTTCTGCTTTTAGTATTTAAAGATCTTTAGAATTTAAGGTTTCAGTATTTAAGCTGTTCTGATGTCAGACACTTTTTGAAGATATATTCCTGACAGTGTGTCAGAGGTTTCTTTCTTTTTTGGTTAAATTTACATAATCCGTTTCAAGGAATTGAACTGAAAGTTCTATTGTTATGCATGTAATTTCACAAAATAAATTTGGAAGTCAGGAGCACCATTTTGTAAATTGAAAGTAAACTATTTAGCAGAAGTATTACTGCTGAAAAAACAAATTAAAAAGCTTTCTGTTGCTGTTTGTTAGAACTGACCAAATGTTTCCACTAGGGGTTGCAAGTGAGCCCAATTTTGCCTTTCATTTTGTTCTTGAGATCTTTCACAGATTGGAAAAAAAAAGTTTGAAACAATACAACTGTTAAAACTAAAGAGCTTTTAATAAATGTATGTAAGTTTGTTAGGATTAACCCCTTGAGATGTACCATCTTGTTTTCGAGGGGGTCTCAAAAACAAAGTAACACAATCACAAAAAAACTGATTAATAATACATCCATAAACAACACCAAACGACAAATCACTAACATTAATTAGAAAATAACACCACAAAATTGAAATAAATATGAAACAACATATACTGATCAGTGAATCCAATCAAATAGAAACCAAAAATATATATAAAGAAACAGTAACATCTTCAGTGATAGCATGTACAGACCAAAACATAATATAATGAAGTTTGCTTAAACATCTTTAATGATGCAATAGTTTGAATATCTGCAGGTAAATTATTCCAGTCTGTTGGGGCTTTAAACATAAAAGCTCTTTTACCAATGTTTTTTTGACACAAGGAACAAGTACGTACAGAAATTAATTTAAAGAAAAAGGTACAAGTTGTAAATAACTAGGATATTTAAAGTAAATACATTTGAATATAAAATGAAGCCAACGAAAATCATCTTGTGTGTAAAGTTGGCCACTGGAGTGTATCATACATTAAACACTGATGAGTATAAAAAGAACATCCCAAAACCAATCTGCAAAATCTATTATAAACTGTATGAAGTGGAGCAAGATCTGATTTTGATGCAGTGTGATGAACAACATCACCATATTCAAGGATTGGAAGTTGAGAGACAAGTTTCTTATGAACACTGCATTAAAAAAAAAAATTACGAGATTGATGTAAAGTACTAATTCCAAAATTGATTTTATGTAGAACATGATTAATATGTCATTTAAAGGAAAGTTCAAAATCAAGCCATACACCAAGGTATTTAATAATATCAGCTTTATGCAAAGGAGTACTGTCTTTACATGATACAACACAATAACAGACTCTGGATTTAAGTCTGGATTTTTAAAACCAAAAATCATAATATAAGACTTATATAATATAAGATTTTGCACTAATTTATTATCCAAAAACCAATTGTGAAAATATTAAAATCATGCTGAAGAGACAACTGAATTTGTAAAATATCAGAATTAGATACATATATGACAGTGTCATCAGCATAAATTGAAACATTACAATTATTGAAAATGAACGATAATTAACATAACTAGAAAAAAGAAGGGGTCCCAACATTGAACCACCTCTGTTGAATCAAAAAAAATCTTGATTTATTCCCATTTTGTTATGCAAATATGAATTAAACCACATAATTGCATTTTAAGAAAGACCAAAAGCATGAAGTTTATCTAAAAGTAAGTATCGATCAACTACATCAAAAATCTTTAGATAAATTAAGAAAAATTGCACCTGCGAGTTTACCATCAGCAGCAGCTGAAAACACATCATTAGTGAACTTAAAGGGGTCATATGATGTTGCTAAAAATAACATTATTTTGTGTATTTGGTGTAATGAAATGTGTTTATGCAGTTTAAAGTTCAAAAAACACATTATTTTCCACATACTGTACATTATTGTTTCTCCTCTATGCCCCGCCTTTTTGAAACGCGTCGATTTTTACAAAGCTCATCAGTCTGAAAAAGTGAGGTGTGCTCTGATTGGCCAGCTATCCAGTGCGTTGTGATTGGCCGAATACCTCAAGCATGTGACGGAAATGTTATGCCCCTCACCATACTGTGACATGGCTGCAGCGTCAACAATACTACAGTGAGAATAAAAGTTACGCCTTTTTTCTTTGCGTGAACATTTGGGCGGCGTTATGCAAATCTTCCCAGATCGTGACGTAGGTATGTGGGGGCGTGTTAGAACGAGCCGTTTTAGGTAGGCGTGGTTAACTCTTAACTTTTATAAAGAATATCTCTTTGGTTTTGAGACTTTAGTGTTTGCAACTTTACAGATCTTCTTTATGTACCAAGAGCTAGCTTGTAACACTCCAAAGAGAAAGGAAAAATTGAAATCGCATCATATGACCCCTTTAAGTAATGCAGTGGTTGCAGAATGATTGGACCTAAAGCCGGATTTATATGGTGATAAAATATTATTAATACATACTGTAAGTAATTTGGAAGTTGCTTATATATTAATTTTTCAAAACATTTAGATATAGAACATATAACAGATATAGGTCTGTAATTATTGAGATCAAGAACTTTAAAAAGTACCCTTGTAAAGTGGAGTAATACGTGCTTATTTCCAGATAGCAGGTAACTCACATGTAGACAAAGACAAGTTCAATAAATCAGCGATGAATGTGAGAAGATGATTTAAGAAACTTATTTTCAATACCATCCAATCCCAACACCACTAGTCCCACTTAATTCATTAATAGCATTCTGAACTTCAATAGGCAAAATCTTGCTAAATTGAAAAGAACTACTACACGATAAAGTATCATATATAGTACCAGCATTCAAATAAGAATCAGATACTAAAGTAGAACAGACAAAAAATGCTGATGAAATGAATGAGCTAGATAAAGAGTCATGTAATATTGTATTATTAACTCGAATTTGATTAATTAAATGGTTATCTGAAGCACTAAATATGTTTTTGATTTTATTCCAAAAATACTTAAGAGTTCTTACAATTATAGGAAAGACATTTTTTATAGTAATTAGATTTTTCATTAGTTACTTTTGCCTAATACATTTCTCAAATGACTATTGTAGCGTCTGGACCACTCAAACACACAATATATATTTTGTTTTTATATTTAACAAATACTCTGTAACCCCCCTCAGTTAACAAGCCATATGAGGACCCATGAACCCTTCCCCCCGAAATGCGTAACACCCCAGGAAGCCGAACAGGCTCCTGGTTGCATGGCAACCAACGCTGATATCACTGGGTTTATTGGCCAAAAGAATGCAAAGCAGGGAAAAGCCCTGCATGTCCCAGGGCAAGAGGCAGAGTAGAAATGGACTTTTCTACTAATTAATTCATAGGAAAACCTTTCTTTGAATGAACACACATCATCCTTCAGGTCATTGGGTATATTATTGTCATCGTGTATTTGGTCTTTGAAAATGTATACTGTTATGCAGACTTATAATCGAAACACCCTCCTGTCAGCTTACATATATATATATCTCCACCATGTTTAGTATCTATGAATTCGCCTTCTGATGATCGAAACGAGCGTGTATATTATATGTTGGTACATAGGCAATATATTAGTGTCCTGAGAATCTTTAGTAATTTCGATTCAAGTTCCATTTGCAAATTACCATGCCCTCACACAAAGGGTCATAAAAACTCCCCAGTATCTCAAAACTCCCACTTGGGATACCGGCCTTTCTCATTGGACAAGCCCATCTTGAGAGGCGGGGATCTTCTCCGACCTTAAAGGCCCACACCAGGGACCCTCCCCAGTCGGTGGTTTGTTGGAATTCTGAGAGGATGTGAGAAAAACGCACCCGGAAACCCTAAGAATTGACAAGACAGTTGACCCTGAGAGGTCAAGTAAATATCTACAGCGGATCTAAAATATTCATAATTAATTATAACTAGTTATGATTAATTATTCATATTTCCCATGAGCTGATTCGTTACACTATATACTTCTTAATCGGCGTTACTTCTTGTCTGATGAAATACTGACCATGCCCTTTACTTAAAAAGACTAATAAGTTCAGAATTAATCCAAGAAAGATGATTACCCCTAACCCTAATATTCTTCCAGGGAGCATGTCTTCCACAACATTAATGAACTCAGTATAAAAAATATAAAATAATCCCAAGCATATTGTACATTAGGAATTAAATTATATCCATCCCAATTAATATAAATCAAATCATTAATAAATACATTTAAATTCAATGTTTTAATTAACCTAGATGGAGATTTAGGTCATTTAATTTTCCATACACAAAATAAAATGGAATGATCACTAAAGCAGTCAGTCATTACACCTACCCTTAAAAATCTATTAGGATGTGAAACAAGCATTCAATCAAGAAGGGACTGTGTTCGAGCAGTAACTCTAGTATAGGCTCAGTAATTAGTTGGGTAAGATTTAAACTATTAAAGGGTTAGTTCACCCAAAAATTAAAATTAGCCCATAAATTACTCACCCTCAAGGCATCCTAGGTGTATATGACTTTCTTCTTTCAGACGAATCCAGTCGGAGTTATATTAAAAATTGTCTTTGATCTTTCAAGCTGTTTAATGGCACTCAGCGGGTGTTGCAGTTCATCAGTCCAAAAGAAGTTAAATAAAAAGCACCCATCCATAATAAGTGCCTCACACGGCTGCGGGGGGTGAACAAAGTCCTCCTGTAGCGAATTGATGCGTTTTTGTAAGAAAAATAACCATGTTTAAAACGTAATAATCAATTTAATCTCGCTTGCGCTCACTGTTGTACACTGAAGCAGTTCCGGTTGGATGACGAACGCGGAAGTGCAGGGGAGAGATCAAAACAAAACAACGGTCACTAATTAGAAGTACAAAATGAGGATTTGTAAAGAAGAATGTCGGAGGATTTCGATATAAGCCAAGAGGAGACTGGTTTTCCTTTGCTAAAGTAAGGAAACTTTGCTTCCTTTGATCC